ATTTCAAAACCTGAATACTTTTCCAACTTTTTCAAATTCCAAATACTTTATTATTGCGATAATTTGTGCAATTTTCATACTGTTCACATACAATGAAAGTGAATGGGAATCAATGCCATTGAGCTCCAAAAATGACACAAAAAGCATAATAAAAGTCTGAGATCACAATTGAATCACAGTTGTTCTTGTTAATATTAAAAATATGACAAATGTTATGTTTCTATGAGCAGTCATCACTGATGTCAAACCTGCATTTGAATAAAGCAAACTCCAATGAGATTTGACAGTTACAGCAGGGGAAACATTTCCAATGACTTATGACTCCTAATCATTGCCATTTTTTTGGTGGACTGTCACTTTAAATGAATAGTTCACCTAAAAATGAAAATGCGTTTACCCTCATGCCATCCAAGATGTAGATTAGTTTGTTTCTTTATCAGAACAGATTTGTAGAAATGTAGCGTTACATCACTTGCTCACCAGTGAATGGGTGCCGTCAGAATGAGAGTCCAAACAGCTGATAAAAACATCACAATAATCCACAAGTAATCCACACCACTCCAGTCCAGCAGTTAACGTCTTGTGAAGTGAAAACCTGTGTGTTTGTAAGAAACAAACCCATCACTAAGATGTTTTAACTTTAAAATTTGACTTGAAACTTTTTTTGGGCCAAAATACAAGTCCATAATCCATAATAACACTTCCTCCAATGAAAAAGTCCATCTCCTCTTGTCCCCTCACATCAAAATCCACCCAAATATTTGTTTAGAACTGTTTTGGACTTTGGATATTTCTCTCCTAATTCAGACAAGGCAACTTTTTCACTGGAGACAGCAATATTATGTATAGAGGACTGGTATTTTAGCAACTTTCTAAAGTTAAAATATCATAATGATGGATTTGTTTCTTACAAACACGCAGCTTTTGGCTTCACAAGACATTAACTGCTGGACTGAAGTGGTGTGGATTGCTTGTGGATTATTGTGATGTTTTTATCAGCTGTTTGGACTCTCATTCTGACGGCACCCATTCACTGCAGAGGCTCCATTGGTGAGCAAGTGATGGGATGGAATGGGAAATTGCTCCAAATCTGTTCTGATGAAGAAACAAACATCTTGGATGGGCTGAGGGTGGTCAAATATTTAGCCAATTTAGATTTTGGGTGAACTATTCCTTTAACCATCTATAGTCATTCAATGAGAACAGTTGCTAATCTCTATCTGTTCCTCTCCGTTTCTGTCTCTCATTTGTGTTTTGTGTAGTTGGTCAGTATCGGATCCTCCTATAACTATGGTAGCGAAGATCAGGCGGAGTTCTTGTGTGTTGTTTCTAAGGAACTGCACAACCAATCATACAGCAGCAACTCTCAACCCAGTGAGAAAGCCAAGGTAAGCAGCATGTGTGATTGGCTGTGTTCTAAACGTATTACTAGCACACTGCTTACAGCATATTGCACATGGAATACTGAGTAATACTTATACACTTATACTAATACAAGTATGTGAAACAGTGTGGTTTTGACCTTATAACATTGGTCACATGTCCTCATTACAGTATGTTGAATTCTGTGGCGTCCACTCATACATTTTACAAACAAAATCAGTTATTTAGCATTATTGTGTAATAAATAAACAATAAATAAATAAAATCAGTCATTCAAATCATACTTTTGGTTTATTTTGGGAAGAGTAGTAACTGTAGGTTGTCTTGGATTATGCATGCAGAAAATCCACATATTATGCACAGTATGTACTAAGTTTGGGGACAGTATGTTTATTTTTTTAAGAAATGAATACTTTTAATCAGAAAGTACACATTAAATTGATCAAAAGCAGCAGTAAAGACATTTATAATGTTACAAAATATTTAAAATAAACAAATGCTGTTCTTTTGAACTTTCTATTCATCAAAGAATCTTGAATTCCCAGTTTTTACAAAAATATGAAGCAGCATAACTGATTTCAACCTTGATAATAATCAGAAATGTTTCTTGAGCAGTAAATCAGCATATTAGAATGATTTCTGAAGGATCACGTGACACTGAAGACTGGAGTAATGCTGCTGAAAATTCAGCTTTGATCACAGGAATAAATGACATTTTACAATATATTCACATGGAAAACAGTTATTTTGATTTGTAAAAATATTTCACAATATTGCTGATTTTACTATAGTTTTTGTTCTTTTGAACGGTAGTGTATATACTATAAGTCTTCAAGAATAGTATGTTATTCCAAACATGGCTGTTGTGTTTTAGGGTATTGGTGACAGTATCTTAGTGCAGATTAGTAATCTTTTGTCGTATTATGTAAATCCTCTGCTGTTTTCCCTCAGATTCTACAGGAACGCGGTTCTAGAATATGATTATCTAGAGCTGCCCATTTTTGAGACACATCAGTTCTTTCTAGAACATTCCATGAGCTTGTTCTCTTCACGCCTCAAGAGCACTGGACACCTGACGCACGCAAGCAGCACAAGAAGAGCATGTCCACTGTAATCCAGTCTTTATGGTGCCTGTTAATCCGAATTCAAACCGGGATGCTTGTTTGTTTTGATCTTCATGGATTCAGAGACTGATTTGGGAATCTCTGGACAGGATCTGGAGAACTGGACCAATGTCAATCTCAGGGATCAAAAGGAAATGGACACGTCGCTCTGAATCGCTGCCCACCTGTTAGCACAATCAGTTCAATGGACATTCATGGGCATACAGTGGGGTCCATAAGTGACAACACTTAAATTTCATACTTTTATCATTTAAAACGAACACTTTTCTTTACAAATCTCAGTATTTCGTTCATCTCCTTTTTTCTTTAATCGATGACATGAACAAAACCTGATGCTCTTGTTCTCCTGCATGATTTGCAATGTTTCAAAGAGCATCTTGAGCTTCAATAGAAGCAGGAAAATCTGAGCGTCTGTACAAAGAATCACACGATCAATGTCATCTATTTACTCACATTTGATTAGTCCCACAGACAATTAAATATTATGTCACAAAAAAAATCCCAGATTTTTATTGTGGTCTCAGATTTTTGGAACCCACTGTCCTATGAATTAAATATGCAACAATAAGGATTTTGAAAATCAGTACAAGTTTTGGTTGAGCACACATTTTTATGCAAGATTGTAGTCATATTTGTTAGTGTTGAGATTTTATCTGCACAAGGATTCAAAAGTCTGGGGATGGTAAGATTTTTCAATGTTTTTGTAAGTAGTCTCTGCATTAATTTGATGGAAAATACAGTAAAAACAGTAACATAGTTAATTATTATTGCAATTTTAAATAACTGTTTTCTACTGTAATATTTTGTAAAATGTAATTTATTCTTGTGATCAAAGCTGAATTTTCAGCATCATTACTCCAGTCTTCAGTGACACATGATCCTTTTAATATACTGATTTGCTGCTCAAGCAAATAAAAGCATTAATTTCTTGCAAAAAAAAAAATCTTACTGAGCCCAAACTTTTGAGTTAGTGTATATCTACTACACATTTTACTGGAAACCTGTATGTTTTTTTTTACTCCTTTTTTTGCTTTTGCACTACTGCTATTATTATTATTATCCAGAAAATATTTCAGAGGTACACTCTTAAAAATAAAGGTGCTTCAAAAGGTTCTTCAAGCGATGCCATAGAAGAACCATTTTTGGTTCCACAAAGAAGCATTCAGTCAAAGGTTCTTTAAAGAACCATCTCTTTCTTACCTTTTTATAATCTGAAGAACCTTCTTTCGCCACAAAGAACCTTTTGGGAAACAGAAAGGTTCTTCAGATGTTAAAGGTTCTTTATGGAACCATTTAGAAAAAAAGGTTCTTCTATGGCATCGTGAAGCACCTTTATTTTTAAGAGTGTATCCGTGAACTGCTGTTAAGAAATGTGTTAGTGTATCTTATTCTGAATCCTTGGCTGGACCTTAAAGGGAAGGAGCTTTTCTGTCTGTCCACCAAGAGCAGAGACGGGATATGTGAAGCATTTAAGTGACACCTTGCCTGATCATGCACATTTTGATATATATTATAAGGTAACAGAGTATGCGTTTGTATGTCATTTCGAAAATGCTAACCTGTACTGCAAAATCATGTTACAGTAACATCGAAGTAGCTGAATGTAGCAACACACATCCGCACACTTTTAAGATACAAATGCATTTTGAACAAATAGTCACGTGTCTGTGTTTTTACTGACATTATGAAAAAAAACAAAAATTTGTTGTTAAAACAAAAATTAAAACTATATATTAAAAATCATTTTTAATCTAAATAAAATGAACTTAAAAATATTGTTTGAAATTTTAAAAATAGTTAGCAATTTTGCTTTGGCAACTAACCGAAATAAATTTGTTGAAGCACTAAAATGACTAAAACTGAAATAAAAATAAAGCTAAATAGAAATTTTAACAACTAATAAAAATGACAGAAGCACATAGCAAAATGACTTAAACTAAAATTAAAATGAAAACAAAAATAAAAGCTACTTCAAAACATTAACAAATACTATAATAGCATTAAAAAAATATATTGAAATACCATTGATTGGAAATTCATGAGGCCAATATATTTACATGTATTATCTGTTTCCTCTCATTTCATTTAAACTATTCTAGATTAATTAAGCTCACTCAATTCTACATTCACTCCACCATGTGGTGACAAAAAAAATAAGTTTACAAAAATAAATTAATTGTTGGTAACAAAACAGTTGCTGGTCCCCAATGACTTCCATAGTTTGGAAAAAATAATATAGAAGTCAGTAGGAACTAAGGTATATTTTTAATATATATATTTTATTACATAGAATAGCCTGGAAACAGTATAAATGAAACCTGCCAGTTTACTAGCCATCAATGTTTCTTTAATACTGAATTCTGCATTTTGTTGATTAATTTATTTATATATTTGCCCTGATAGATAGATTGATTGATTTTATTCCGGTACTGTCCCTTTAAATGTTAGACGTCTAAAGGAATGCCTGCTCTAAATTGTTTCCACCAGGGTAAAGACAACGTCTCATTTTCCCAAACACATGGCGCCTGTAAGTCTAAGCTAAAATATCAACAACTGGATCGGTTGAACGGACGGCATTCGCCTTATTTCAACCGATCCCGAATTTTCCTGCAGGCGATTTGCGTGCCGTGCCGCCGGTCCTGATTAGACCGCTTCAGAACCGAATGTGTTTTCGGGAGGGAAACTTCACAGCTTCGGTTCCGAGTCAAACACGACTCGAGTAAGCGGGCCCAGAAGTCGAATAACACTGGGATACACAGCAGGTAAGGCGGTACGCTCGGTGTGTTCTTGTGCTTTGCCGGCCGGTACACGGTCGCTTCGGTTTTGTTCGGAATGGTTGCTGTGTGAACGCGAGCTCGCGAGCTTCTTTGTTCCAGCGCTCGACTCCATATTTATTGACATTTTATGACGTCATAATGTGGAGTTAAAATTCCATTATGTCGTAGTGTAGAACGAACTTCTTTTATGATGCTATTATGAGGACTTAAAAACCTGTATAACGACGCCATAATCTATCTCGTAAACATACTGTTGTGAGAGAATCCACTGTACAGCATAATCTATAGGCAATTAAAACCTTATTGTATCGTTGTAATAGGAAGTGAATAACCTCAGTTTTGATTGTGGTGTTTATGAAAAGTTGGTTGATTACATAGTGTGGCGTCAAATCTTAATTATGATGTCATACTGTAGATTTGATAACCAAGCAAAATTATATAAATGACTTCTGTAAATAGTGTTGTGGTAAAATGTGTTATGTAATGGGCTATTAATGCTAATGTCCACACACACACATTGTTACTCCTGAGATGTCCCAGGTCAAAAATGAACAATCTACAAAAAGTGTTATATAACACACTTGCTATAAAATGACCAAATATTGGATTCAATCTTATCAACTTGTTTTCTTTCATTTAGTACAGGTTTTGCATCTTTTTTTTTCTGGAACTGATTGATCTTGGGGCTCATTGATATGAGCTTATACACTTTAGTTTTTGAGTGAACATTGCCAAAATTATCCACAAATAATGCTTTTTTCCCTAGATAAATGAGGTCTGTGATCAATGTTTAGAGCTTGTATTATATTTACTATTATTTGAAGCACTTGCACAGTTTAACCTGAAGCTACCAGATCAGGAAAATTATTAATTTAATAACTCATGGTGAGTTATAACGGTTTAGTTTACATGGTTTTATATTCACCAACGTGTGTGTTATGCTTTATTACTGGTAGGAATTTCTTTGACGTATTCATTTTGCCTACCTGCAAAAAATTGCTTTAGCATGCAAAAAAAAAATCCTTATAAATGAAAATCCTTATAACATTTCTCATGTGAGTCTGTTACAGACAGGTTTATAAACTTTATATGATGGGCACTATAAGTGTTCTAAATATTAAATATTCTATAAATGATCTAACAATATTCCATAATATAAATATTCTATAAGAACTATAAATATTCTAGTTTCTAAATGTATTACACTTGCTTTCTCTTTTATTTATTTAGCATATACTCAGATAAATGTGTATTTCTCCATAGGATCAGTGGTCATGTCTGGCATTGCTCTGAGTCGACTTTCACAAGAGCGCAAAGCATGGCGGAAAGACCATCCATTCGTGAGTAACCCTTATATTCATGCAGTCCACACAACTATCAGTTTAATCCTGGGTACACTTAGAATTGCTCACTTCTGGATACATACTACAAAATAAACCTTTATTATGAACCCTATAACACATGTGCACTGTATCCTCTGTACTCGATTAGTGTTTTGTCTCGACCAAATGTCCCCAGGGCTTTGTTGCTGTGCCGATGAAGAACCCTGACGGTACCATGAATCTTATGAACTGGGAATGTGCTATTCCAGGAAAGAAGGGGGTAAGATTGTCCGTTTAAGCTTTAATTCGATTAATCCGCTGTAGCATCATGTGAGATCTCTCTCCCTAGACTCCATGGGAAGGAGGTCTGTTTAAGTTAAGGATGCTGTTTAAAGATGACTACCCATCATCACCCCCAAAATGTGAGCTTTGCACAGACATATTCAGTCCTTGCTGTCCAAAGCACACCTCATGAATGCTTGCTTCTCTTCCGTAGGTAAATTTGAGCCTCCGCTGTTCCATCCGAATGTTTATCCGTCAGGAACGGTGTGTCTTTCCATCCTAGAAGAGGATAAAGACTGGAGACCTGCCATTACCATTAAACAGGTCCATTGAAATTATTTTTCACTCTAGTCAGTTCTATTCTAGTGCGTTGTGTTCTAAAATACTCATCTTGCTGTTTTTTTTCCTTCAGATCCTGTTAGGGATTCAGGAGCTCCTAAATGAACCGAACATACAGGATCCGGCTCAGGCAGAGGCGTACACTATATACTGGTATGATAAACACTAGGGCTGCACGATATATCGAAATATCGCAATATGCATATCGCAAGGGCGTGCGATATCTGAATCATTTTAATAATAGGCTACTTAAATCAAAACGTTGCAAAAGGTCAAAGTTTTAGTTCGACGCATATAGCAGAGAATTGCTTGACGTTAAAAAGAGTTAAGTGCAATATGTTGCAGAAAACCACTCTTTGCCATCTCGTCTTGCTGTCTGACTCACACCTGAAGCGCGCGCGCGCACAAGCCGCATCTCACACAGCGTATCTTCCGTTCTGCACCGAGTTGATTCGTCTTTCGTATCTCCTCCTCCTTATGTTAGAACAGACACATACACACAGAATTATGTCAATAGTACCCGTCTCGACGATCATTCTCGTAAACGCAGTCGGTTATGTTTTAAATGAATGTAAACAGCTGAGAAAGAAATCGGATGTGTATCATTATACTGGATCCGTGCAGTCGGATTTAAAGGGACAGCAGCCTATAAATACCTGCTGCTGAATATGTCACTAATGTTAATCCAACAACAAAACAGCTATAACAAAGATTCATCTAAATTTAATTCATACAGTGAACACTATGCAGTGTTATTTTACACTTAATTATTAAATTTCTGTACCTGAATACTACTGTATTTTATCTATGCTTGTAAATTGTGTATTTGTTCTTTTTTCCCCCTTTTTCTTTCTTTTTTTACTGACTTGCCTTTAATCATGTTTGAACTTTCTCAGACTATAGTTTTTGCCGTGGTATATGAAGAAGTACTTAAAGTGTATGGAAAGCAAAGTTACAATGATATACAATTGTCATAAATGTCAAAGTTAATATTAAATTTTCTGATTTGTGACATTACTTTTTATGTACTGCTAAAACACTGCTGGTCACTTTCAGAAGTTGTAGTGAATGAGAAACAAATTGGTTATATAATTTTCATTTTTAAATATTTTAAAATATAATTGATGAATTGATTTGACACACTTTAAGCAATATCGTATCGCATATCGAATATCGCATTTTTTAACAAGGTATTGCATATCGCATTTTTCTTCAATATCGCACAGCCCTAATAAACACACGCTAAGAGTTAAAGTGCAATGAGTACAGTGCTGCAAGTGTTGTGTAGTTCCAAAATTTAGTCTGCATTTTAAAATAGAACCTCACAAGTGGTTAATTTGAAATGCTTCTCACGGGAACCAACAGAAATAGCACTCCTAATGCCAGCTGTATGAGAAACACAAAGCTAACAATATGGTAATCACAAGGAAGCACACACAAATATTGGGATTCCATATAAAAAAGAATAGAATATTGAACCCATTTCCACTACTTGAGTTAATATGAAACATTATGTTGGTTAAATGCCATAATTATTACTTTTTTTTGTCTACTTTTTGTCATAATTTTTATTATAATAATTTCTAATTATGTAAATTATGACATGAAAAGTAGAAATTAGGAGAAAAACGTTATCATGAGATTAAAAAGCCTAAATTATGAGTCAAAAAAATCAAATTTGATAAAAGGTCATGAGATTTTTTTCGCCCTTTTTTTATAATGACCGTGTTTCATAATTATGCTATTTATCTTTATTTGGACTTTTTGTGTCTTAATTAAGACTTTGTCAGTTTTGGCCTTTTAATAATAATCTTTACTTTTTATATCATCATTTTGACATGTTTCCTTCAAGGAAATTTTGACATGTTCAAATGTTACATTTGACATTTAGCAATTGGCAGATAATGTATGCATGGATATATTTGTTTATATATTAGTGCAAAAGCACATTACGTAATACGTGAAAATGAACTACATTTGTGAACTACATTCATTATTGTTCAAATTTAGCTTCATTTTCAATCTTGTGCCACATATACACTAACATTCAAAAGGGGATCAGTAAGATTTTTAAATGTTTTTTAAACTTTTATGCTCACCAAGGCTGCATTTATGTGATGAAAAATACAATAAATTTTTTACTTTTTCCACCTTTGTTTTAAACAGTCATTTTTTTTTCTCTTCAAATGTCTTATTATATACTATACACTTGATTTCTTTATTTTACATGATTTGTGGCTATTTGCGTAAATTGGGGTTCAGCTATTTAGTAGGATTTGCTTATTAAAGCAATTGGCAGATAATGTATGCATGGATATATTTGTTTATATATTAGTGCAAAAGCACATTACGTAATACGTGAAAATTAACTACATTTGTGAACTACATTCATTATTGTTCAAATTTAGCTTCATTTTCAATCTTGTGCCACATATACACTAACATTCAAAAGGGGATCAGTAAGATTTTTAAATGTTTTTTTAAACTTTTATGCTCACCAAGGCTGCATTTATGTGATGAAAAATACAATAAATAAAAAAACTGAAATATTGTGAGATATTACAATTTAAAATAACTGTTTTCCATTTGAATATATTGTAATTTATTCCTGTGATGCAAAGCTGAATTTTCAGCATCATTACTCCAGTCTTCAGTGTCACATGATCCTCCAGAAACCATTATAATACGCTGATCTGCTGCTCAAGAATGATCAATGTTGAACAAAGTTGTGGTGCTTAATATTTTTTACATTTTTTTCAGGATTCTTTAGTAAATAGGAAGTTTATTTGAAATATTTGTAACTTTTTTTTTTTTTTTACATTTCTTTGGAAAAAAATTAAAAATCCTATTGACCCCAAACTTTTGAACAGTAGTGTGCATACACATGTTAGACTGCATAAATGTGTGAATTGGAGAGTGTGCAGTAGTCCTCACTGCATGTGATGCTTCCTCTCTCAGTTGTTGCAAAATCGCGAATCCAGCAGCCTGAGTCGACCTCTGAGCCCACAGGAGACTGCGGCATGCTGGGAGACTCATTCTCGTGGATCTCTCCCAAATTCTCATAGTCTAAGGTGGAGGGTTGAGGGGGTGTGTCTGTGCTCTCTGTCAGAATGTCAATCTTGAGAGACTCCTCCCCCTGCATCACATCTCTCATCTTACCTGACAGCGTTGAACGGATCTGAAAATACACACACATACAGACCATTAACAGTCATATATTATATATATTATTAACTAAAAGATGGAAGCTTTTTACTTGTGCCGAAATAAACAGAACACCAACAGATCACACCCAAGACTTGAATTTAGATGCCAACAAAACGGCTTTACATTTAAGAAACATAAAATTCTTGAATTGTTTTCAAAATGAATTCTGTGCTCTTCAAATTCCCAAATGGGTTTGCAAAGTCAGACCATGTTTGATATCTTATATCTGATAAGACACCACAAAACCATATTTGATAGTCTTCTCATATCTGATTAGTAAGGTTTCCTATCATCATTTGACAGTGATGAAAAGATTAGTGTTATTTTAGTATTAATTACAAACTATTATAGCATTTATGAATTATCTTTTATTTTTCAGTTTTCATTTTAAATGAAAGTTTTAGTAATTTTGTTCGGTTTTAGGAATTTTAGTACTTCACCGTTTTGCATCTAATGTTTATATTATATGATTCGGTGTTTTGAGTAAATTATGTCATTCATAAAGAGATTCAATTGTTTCATTCTTGAATGAGTCTGCATATTTAAATGAATTGGCTGAGTGAATGATTCAGTGACTCGTTCATAAACCGCATCCGCACTTTTACATTTTACACTTGATTACATTTTTTATTTTTATTTTTTGGAATTACCTGAACATCTACATCCCAGTCTCTGAAATAAGGGGCTGGTGAAGGTATATAATTATTCTTCCTCCATCTACAATACAAACATCCATCATTTATTTACAAGAAAACAGATCAAAGAAATCAGATGTTTTCAGGATGCTGCAGATGATTTTTCAAACCTGGAGTATGGGATACAGAACAGAAGGACCAGCAGCAATGGCACTAACAGAAGATACCCAATAGAGAATAGGGAATAATTGTTTCCCACAGTAGGGAAAGATCCTCCTGGAGTCTCTTCTTAAACACACAAAATGAGATGAATCTTAATCACAGTATGTAATATTTACAGTTGCTTCTTAGCAGTTGTTTGAGTGTTCTGTAAACTGACTCACTGTGAATGTCCCCCGATCTCCAGTGTAACGCAGGGGTCCACAAACTCCACACGCCTTTATAATACACTTGATCTGGCCGCGATCTCACACGCACTGTGTAATTTGTGTGAGGTTCAAATCTAGACTCGTCCACATACACCTTCTGTTCAACAGCTTCTACCTCATACAGCTGAAACACAATCATTTGTCATATGGAACTTAAAGAACTTAAGAGCACTTTCAAAGAGCAACCTCAGATATTAGTGACAAATGAATTCAACTGGTGCAAAACGTGTAGCTTGACCATGATACTGGGTACTACTCAAACTGCGTATTAGTACTTCTCCCATGGTGTAAAATAGACACTTGTTGTGAGAAAGGGGTGTTAATAGAAATTAATTTAAAGTTGTAAGTTGTAAGGATCAGTTTTTGACTTTGGGTCTCAACAGTTGATGGTCAATGTGTTTTTGATTTATGGAAAAGGCAGCCTCAATTTTTTTTAAATATTGTTATTATTATATTAAATTAAAGAAACGCTTAATTTGTCAATTCAAAAAATATTTATTTCCATGTTTCAATTGCTAAAATAATAATGTATACCTTCATTTTATTTTAAGTGTCACTCCTTGCATGTCCTCAGAACTGGTTCGAGAAAGGGTTTGAAAATGTCATTTCAGAAAAAGAGCCAGCTATTACATTTTGATGCCTAAAGACTATAAATGGCTACTAAAATTTTTATTCTTTATTATAACATGTACTTGTGAATTATGCACAATAAAACCAGGAATGTTTGATGAAATAGTTCACCCAAAATCCGAAAAAAAAGAAAATAAGAAAAATAAAATTTAGAAGAATGAAAATAATATGGTGTTTTGAAGAATATCAAAACTTTTATAGCAAGCGCACACCTTGTGTTGACTGTAAATGCTGAGCTGGTACTGAAGGTCGGGTATGAAGAAACTGTCTGCGTCATATCCGCTCTGCCACTGGAAAAGAGCCCTGTCTTTTTCCCAGAGCAGTGACAGGTTAGACGGAGGGACGGGACGAACTACAACACACACACACATCAGTGAGCAGAACTGTGGTCTTGCTTGGCTCTGAAATGCGTGTAGCTACTTGCTCTTACTGTGTTTACTAGGCATGAAGTCAGCATCTAGCACGACGGAGAAGTTGTTGCCATGGTAACCGGAATGGAGGGAGATCCTGTAGCTCTCTACATCGTTGAAAACCACATGCGGTGATAAATCCAACTCGCATAGTAACGACTGTTCTCCCATCTTCAGTGTGCAGTCATAGTGCTCGCTACACAAAAACAGTCATTTACAAGCAAGCATGCAGGTGACTGTTTGGTAGTATATTCGTGATTTGACTGATGTGTGATTGCGATTCAGTGCAGTATTCTCACTCATATGTGCTGAACTGCAGCCAGTAGGATGATTCATTGCCCAGAGACTCAGCCGAGATGTTCAGAGAGCAGGTGATATTGGATAAATAATTACTGAGACACTCCAGACTATACTGATCACCTGAACACATTTTTATAGGCGACAAGTAATCACAATAAACGCAGTGCATATGCACATATTAATGTGTGTGTATATATATATATATACTGAACAAAATTATAAACGCAACACTTTTGTTTTTGCCCCCATTTTTCATGAGCTGAACTCAAAGATCTAAGACTTTTTCTATGTACACAAAAGGCCTATTTCTCTCAAATATTGTTTACAAATCTGTCTAAATCTGTGTTAGTGAGCACTTCTCCTTTGCCGAGATAATCCATCCACCTCACAGGTGTGGCATATCAAGATGCTGATTAGACAGCATGATTATTGCACAGGTATGCCTTAGGCTGGCCACAATAAAAGGCCACTCTAAAATGTGCAGTTTTACTGTATTGGGGGTCCGGGGGGGTCTGAAAACCAGTCAGTATCTGGTGTGACCACCATTTGCCTCACGCAGTGTAACACATCTCCTTCGCATAGAGTTGATCAGGTTGTTGATTGTGGCCTGTGGAATGTTGGTCCACTCCTCTTCAATGGCTGTGCGAAGTTGCTGGATATTGGCAGGAACTGGAACACGCTGTCGTATATGCCGATCCAGAGCATCCCAAACATGCTCAATGGGTGACATGTCCGGTGAGTATGCTGGCCATGCAAGAACTGGGATGTTTTCAGCTTCCAGGAATTGTGTACAGATCCTTGCAACATGGGGCCGTGGATTATCTCGGCAAAGGAGAAGTGCTCACTAACACAGATTTAGACAGATTTGTGAACAATATTTGAGAGAAATAGACCTTTTGTGTACATAGAAAAAGTCTTAGATCTTTGAGTTCAGCTCATGAAAAATAGAGGCAAAAACAAAAGTGTTGCGTTTATAATTTTGTTCAGTGTGTGTATATATATATATATATATATATATATATACCCCATACTGTATAAATGTATGTAAATATGTACTGTATATATATATATATAGTGCATATAATATATAATGCATATTTTACACACACACACACACATATATATGTGTGTGTGTATAATTAAAATAAAATAGAGAGTAGGAATTCTTACCCCAAGTTATAAAATTCACCAAAATATCAGAAAAACAAATCAATGTGAGGATGAAAGGAGAGCAATGCATGTTCTCTTTACCCTGTAACAAATAAAAATCAATAAAAGTGACAGATCTTATGTGTGTGTTAATTGTGACGTTGATTTGACATTTTCTGAAGCTTGGACAGTGACTATGAATGCAGTAAAAAAATACATTTTCAGTTTTTCCTTGCAGCTACCACACAGCATTACTTCACTGTGAATTTTAAATCATAATTCATTCAACAAAGCATTGAAAACATAGCAGGTTGAATGCAATTAAACTGAGCCCATTGCTGGACACTGCAATGACTGCCAGATTGTGATTGTCAATTTATCTGAATTCAAACGAAATCATTTCTGTTTACAAAGAGTCTGTGAACATAAACTTAATTTGCATGCTACTAAACTCTCACCTTCTACTGAGAATAGTGGGGCTTCTTTTATTTTAGCGCTATAAACTTAATTAGTATGGAAAGTACATCAGATACTACAAAAGAAAAAATGAAACCAATTTGCTTAACGAAAACTACAAACACACTTGGCAGAAATAAAAGCATGTGACGTGCTATTCACACGTAACAAAAGTGATTGAAAATCTACCTGCAGTTGCTGACTGTTGTTGCTTCTGGTTTCACACGCACGCACATGAAAAGAAAGCTTCAGTTGCGCACCTCTCTCTCTCTCTCTCTCTCTCTCTCTCTCTCTCTCTCCCTGTCACTGCACTGCCTGTTTTTTTGTCAGTCTTCTGATGAGACAGTCTATCAGTTATCCGATCTGTGATCTCTCTCATGATCTCCAATCTTTTCACAGTTAGGTATTCAGATCAGCAAATTCTCTGCCACGTTTCAGAAGATTACTAACCGATATCATCACACTTCTGCTGGATGCTTTAACTGCTTTGAGAACCTAAACAACTTCATATATGATCATTTTAACGTTTTTGCAGCTCCCTTCATTTTCTATTTAATTATGAACATCTGTCAAGTGTGTAAATGGATCTTATGGATGCATGTGCATATATAGCCTATAACAGGGCTGTCCAAACTCGGTCCTGGAGGGCCGGTGTCCTGCAGAGTTTAGCTCCAACTTGCCTCAACACACCTGACTGGAAGTTTCTATGCCTAGTAAGAGCTTGATTAGCTGGTTCAGGTGTGTTAGGGTTGGAGCTAAACTCTGCTGGACACCGGCCCTCCAGGACCGAGTTTGGACACCCCTGGCCTATAATATCCAACTTTATCCACGTACACTCATGTAAAGAGCGCCATATATAGCCTGGCAACTGGCTGATTTTGTATTTTTATTACAAAATGAAACTCTATCATCTTTATAAAAAGTTGGATATTTAAGTGTATAAATGTATATACTGTACATTATACATGTATATATATATATATATATATATATATATATATACTCGAGTAGGGTGATACCTCAACTATACCATCGCTAAATGCAACTAGCCTATATAATCTCCCAACTTATTAAAGAAAGTTGGATATTATAAGTATATCCAATTTTATACGCATACATACAGTATATGCTTGTATAGGGTGATACATGTCAGTCAAAATGTGGCAAATCTCAACTAGGCTACTTCATTGTTTATATCGTTGCTAAATGTGAATAAGACATGAAAATAGGCCTAAAAAATATTATACATTAAAACAGGGTTGTTAAACTCAATTCCTGGAGGGCCGGAGCCCTGCAGAGTTTTGTTCCAACCCTGCTCTAACACAGAAACCTTGTAGTTTTCAAATAAGCCTGAAGGACTTGATTGGTTGGATCAGGTGTGTTTAATTAGGGTTGAATCTAAACTCTGCAGGGCTCCGGCCCTCGAGGAACTGAGTTTGACAACCCTGTTTTAATGTATAATATTTTTTAGGCCTATTTTCATGTCTTATTCACATTTAGCAACGATATAAACAATTAAATCATGATTTTAAACATGCTTTGAATCAACACGTATAGTGAAAACCACTAATGTATTTGACTTGACTTGACATGTAATGCTAAAACGGCCGAGTTACTGTAAGATTAGTCATGCGACAAGAGAGCTTTTAAAATAATTGTTGTGAGTCAATCGTTCAGTTTTAGACACAAGAACAAGTGTATGGTTTATATTATTATCATTGATGTGATAGTTAAAGTTGAGGTTAAATGTGAAACTACACACTTCTTAACCCCACGCCTACGTTGATGAGAATCAGACTGAGGCCTATATTTATTCATGCGGCTTTGGAGGAGCTTTAGTGATGGCTAGCTTTGTTTGTCTGTTTTATGCCTTCTAACCCCACATTCTTGCAGAAGGTCAGGCAAAACGAGCTTTTGTGAAGAGCTGTTTTCTCCATACTGAGTCAAGTGGCTTTCCGATTAACAGCAGTTTTGCAATGATGATATCTGATCAGTCTTTCTGAGGCCCTGAGGTGTTCAATCTGATTGGTTGTCCTAAATAACATCTATGGATGACAACATCTAATGCTGCCTTATGATAAGTGCTACCCAGACGTCCTACTTTCAAGCGTGCCCTACAAAGTAACAGATGTCTTCACAAATGAGTCTTGCAAAGTAAGTAAACACATGGCAGACGGATGGTGCCAGCATTCAGTAAGCGTCGTGCCAGTGTGCCAACACTTTAGTGAACTTATTATCACTTGATACTTAGGAATTATGAGCCACGCCATGTGCTTTGGTTTGTGGTTTTTATCTGAGAATCAGCAACTGAGACATGAAAATAACAACAAAACCTGGTTTGATTCAGACGGTTTACACGGGGTCTGCAGTGTTTGTGCACAAATGAACAAGCTCTAAATATCGAATATATTTGTTGTTAGATTGTATATTTGTGATTGTCTATTTGTAATTTGTATATGAATTGCAGTATTCCAACACATTATCAACAAGACCAATTTTCATTTGTCAAACGTATCTTAAAGTGACAGTTCAGCCAAAAATGATAATGGTTATTATTTACTCGTGTTGTTCTAAACCTGTACGAGTTTCTTTCTTCTGTGGAACATAAAAGAAGATATTTTATAGAATGTTGGTAACCAAACCACTTCGGATCTCCATTATATTTTTTGTCCATCCAAGATGTAGACCAGTTTGTTTCTTCATCAGAACACATGTAAAAAAATGTCCACCAATGGATACTTTGCAGTGAATGGGTGCCGTCAGAATGAGAGTCCTGATAAAAACATCACAATAATCCACAAATAATTCACACCAGTCCATCAATTAACATCTTGTGAAGTGAAAAGCTGCGTGTTTATAGGAAACAAATGCATCATTAAGATGTTTTTAACTTCAAACCACCGCTTTTGGCTAAAATAACGAGTCCTCCATCCATAATATTGCTTTCTTCTGTGAAAAAGTTGTCTTGCCTGAATCAAGAGAGAAATCTGCATTGCACAGTTTCCATGGGAAAACAGTCTAAAACAGTTCTAAACAAATATATGGGTGGATTTTGATGTGAGAGGACAACAGGGGATGGACTTTTTCCACTGAGGAAGTGTTATTATGGATTATGGACTCATATTTTGGCCAGAAGTGACAGTTTGAAGTTAAAAATGTCTAAATGATGGATTTGTTTCTTACAGACACACAGCTTATCTCTTCACAAAATGTTAACTGATGGACTGGAGTGCTGTGGATTGCTTGTGGATTATTGTGATGTTTTTTTCAGCTGTTTGTACTCTCATTCTGACGGCACCCATTCACTGCAGAGCATCCATTGGTTAGCAAGTGATATATCCAAATCTGTTCTGATAAAGAAACAAACTCATCTACATATCGGACGGTCGAAGGGTGAGTAAATCTTCATTTTTGGATGAACATGAATGTATAATACAATATTTTCCACTGAATATTTATTCCTCATATACCATATGTGTAGTTGTGGGTTAAAATGACCCAATTTGATATCGTCAACACTTACTATCTCTTCAACAGAAAATGATTGATTCTTTTGATATCTTTATGAACATCTCTGGGTTATCTGATGAGGTTCTGGGAGTGTTGCGCTACAGGAACTTTGGGGAAGATAAGGACAGGAAGTATCAAGACATGCTGAAATGTATAAAAACAAGCTGAGAGGGTAAACAGCCTGTATTTTATTTCACCTAGTGCATACTTTGTTCATTTTGAAAATATGGACCACAATACTAAGTAACTGAACTTCTACATTTAAATGGAAAGCAAAGCAAAATAAAAGCATTACATGCTTGTCGCAACAATAATGCTACATTTAATTAAATAAAAATAAAAAAATTAATAAAACAAGGCGATCGATAAAAGATAAAAACAAATTTATTAGGCTGACAAAATGACACTTTGGATTAGTAACGTTTATTCAACATTTTTTTCGCAAACAAGCATAGAGAATATAATATATAAGTGAACACCGAGGAGCCCGACATAAAGAAAATGTTTGTAAAGGAAATGAAAGCACACTTATATTCTTCAATGTCATTTGAAGGGAAGATATTGGAGCATTTGACCTCCAACGAGAGCATAATTCAAAAGTGTGTCAGCAGGAGGCAGCAATGAGCTGATAAATAGATAGATAAAATCATCTGCGTGAATAAATGGCAGCATGAGTATAAGGCACCAAATCATTTCATGCATATATAAAATGTAAACAGCTATGCGTTTTCAATTTCTACAGTGAGTCTTATTAAGACTAAACTGCCATTTTTGCTTTTGGAAGTGCGGAGCACGATACGTGTTTAAATATATTCAGCAGGATGTAAATGTTTTACTTTTATTTTATCTTATTTTATATTTTGTTTAGTTTTATTTACGTCAGCCACCCGAACTACATGAGATGCAACACAGCCACGTCCCTCAAATTGAAAGTCATTTGAATAAATTCACTGTAATGCACCTGTTTATGGTCATTAACAATAATAACAGTTGTCTACATTCGTAGGGGGCGTCTATACACAGTTGTTCCATTTGACTAGGTTCTTTAAAACGTGTTTTATCTGGTAAACGTTTCGAAAGCGGAATGTTTCTTCGCCGTATTTTTTCACCGCCGGTACATATTAGAACGAACGCAACCAGGAAGCAGTGGACAAACACTGAAAACAAACTGTTTATCAATTTTATTCTATTAAATTAACGCTGGAGGAAGCGATCGCACTGTTTGAACTGTATCTCGTGGTCATGATTATATCTTTCTCATGGGCTGTTTATTTCATGTTCGTGTCTAAGGCTGGTGTGGGCAAGAATTATGGAATAGACTGGTGAAGGTCTGCTGGAGAGATTTCATTTGAGTAAACCATAGACTGTAATGGAGTAAACAGAGCAAAATATACAGCGCTAAACACTTTCATCGTGTCGTTTTTATTCTCTGCAGAGGGTCTGGACTTTTTGAGATGGTGAATCTGGTTCTGTAGGGTTACTTAAGGCGTGAAAATGGACTTCTCCAAGTTCCTGGCAGATGATTTTGATGTGAAGGACTGGGTGAATGGAGCTTTTAAAGTGGTTCAGAAAGATGCACCTGGTAAAACAGACGCTCACGCTTCTACTCTGGTCATGAAGCTGCAGCTGTTCATTCAAGAGGTCAATAACTCTATAGAAGGTGAGTGTGGCACCCATTTAAATCACTCTTTCTAATGTCTGAATGGCATTGCA